CTTCACAGACTATTCCAAAAAATCCAAAAGGATGGAAGACTCCCAAATTCTTTTTACAAAGCCAGCATCATCCTAATCCCAAAACCAGATAAAGACACAACAAAGAAAGAGAACTTCAGGCCAATATTGCTGATGCGCATAGATGCTTAAATCCTCAACAAAATATTGACAAACTGCATCCAACAATACATTAAAAAAATCATACACCATGACCAAGTGAGATTCATTCCAGGGATGCAAGGATGGTTCAACATTTGCGAATTAGTAAATGTAATATACCACATAAACAAAAGCAAAGACAAAAAACACATGATAATATCCACAGATGCAGAAAAAGCATTTGATAAGGTACAACACCCATTCATGATAAAAACACTCAGAAAAGTGGGAATAGAGGAAACATTCCTCAACATAATAAAGGCCATATAGGAGAGACCTACAGCCAAAACTAAACCATCATACGCAATGGGCAAAAACTAAAGTCTTTTCCACTAAGATCAGGAACAAGACAAGGTTGTTCACTTTCACCACTTCTATTCAATATAGTATTGGAAGTCCTAGCCACAGCAATCAGACGAGAAAAGGAAATAAAAGGCATCCAAATCAGTAAGAAGGAAACAAAACTGCCATTGTTTGCAGATGACATGATAGTGTACATAGAAAATCCTATACAGTCCACTCAAAAACTGCTGGACCTAATAAATGAATTCAGCAAAACAGTGGGATACAAAGTAAATATCCAGAAATCAAAGGCATTTTTATATATCAACAATGAAACAGCAGAAGCAGAAATCAAGGAAAATCCTATTTGATATAGCAAAAAAATAAAATAAAATAAAATAAAATAAAATACTTAGGAATAGACCTAACCAAAGAGGTAAAAGACCTGTATGCAGAAAACTACACAACACTGAAGAAAGAAATCAAGGAAGACACAAACAAACGGAAACATATACCATGTTCATGGATCAGAAGAATTAACATCATCAAAATGTCCATACTACCCAAAGCAATTTACAGATTCAATGCAATACCTATCAAAGTACCAATGGCATATTTTACATAGAACAAACACTTCAAAAATTTATGTGGAAACATAAACGACCCTGAATAGCTGCTACAATTTTGATAAAGAAGAGCAAAGCAGGAGGATCACAATACCTGATACCAAACTGTATTATAAGGCTGCTGTAATCAAAACAGCCTGGTACTGGCATAAAAACAGACACATGGACCAGTGGAACAGAATAGAGAGCCAAGAAATAAGCCCAAGTCTCTATGGTCAATTAATATTCAACAAAGGGGCAACAACATAAAACAGAGTAAAGATAGCCTCTTCAACAAATGGTGTTGGGAGAACTGGACAGCTACATGCAAAAAAATGAAACTCAAGCACCAACTTACACCATACACAAAAATAAATTCAAGGTGGATAAAAGACTTAAATATAAGCCATAACACCATTAAAGTCCTAAAGGAGAACATAGGCAGGAAAATCTCAGATATTTCACACAGTAACATTTTTACTGATATGTCCCCTAAAGCAAGGGACATAAAGGAAAGAATAAATAAATGAGATCTCATCAAAATAAAAAGCTTCTGCATGGCGAAAGAAAACAGTATTAAAATAAAAAGAGAACCAACCATATGGGAAAACATATTTGCCAATGATACCTCAGACAAGGGATTACTCTCCAAAATATGTAAAGAACTTACACAACTCCACTCTCTGAAGACAACCAACCCAATTAAAAAATGGGAAAAGGACTTGAACAAACACTTCTCCAAGGAGGACATACGGAAGATCCAGAGACATATGAAAAGATGCTCAATATCACTAGCTATCAGAAACATGCAAATTAAAACCACAATGAAATACCACTTTACACCAGTCAGAATGGCTATCATAAACAAATCAACAAACAACAAGTGTTGGAGAGGTTGTGGAGAAAAGAGAACTCTAGTTCACTGTTGGTGGAATTGCAGACTGGTACAACCACTATGAAAAACAGTATGGAATTTTTCTCAGAAAACTAAAAGTGGATTTGCCTTTTGACCTGGCAATTCCACTGCTAGTATACCCTAAGAACCCTGAAACACCAATCCAAAAGAACCTATGCACCCCAATGTTCATAGCAGCACAATTTACAATAGCCAAGAGCTGGAAGCAACCTAGGTGCCCATCAGTAAATGAATGGATCAAAAAACTATGGTACATTTACACAATGGAATTCTATGCAGCAGAAAGAAAGAAGGAACTCCTATCTTTTGTGACAGAATGGGTGGAACTGGAAAGCATTATGCTAAGTGAAATAAGCCAGGTGGTGAAAGACAAATACCATATGATCTCACTTTTAACAGGAGCCTAAACAACAAAGTTATCAATCAAGCAAAATATAACCAAAGACACTGAAATAGAGAACAGGCTGACGATGTGCAGAGGGGAAAGGGGAAGGAACTTTAGAGGAAAAGGGGAAGGGTTTACAGGAACAAGTATAAAAGACACACGGATAAAAACTAGGGGGTGTGGAAATGGGAGTGGGGAGGGGAGGGGGAGGGGAGGGCTGGGTGGGTGGGCTGGGATGGGAGTAAAAGAGAGAAAACTGTACTTGAACCACAATTAAAAAAATAAATAAAATGATAAAAAATAAATTTAAAAAATATATCAAAAATACAGATGTTTGAGAAATCTTGAATTAGGTGACATTATCTTAATAAATGTCACATTAGGTGACATTACTTAATAAAGCTTGACACATTTTTCTTTCATTTTTCGAAAAGGCAATGGCATCGAAGATTCTGCACTTGATGGGAGGAAAGAATGGGTGACATCTAAGGCTCTTTAACTCCCAAGCTTGATATATCTAGTTGACCCTCAACCACAAACTTAAGTCAACAAGGAATTTTCACCCTTTTCCCCTTTGCCTATTTCCTTTCTTTAAAGACAAACAGGATTTTTGAAAAAGATGGTTAGATATTAGAAGGTAACCCTAAGGCCTTAGGAAAAACATTTCCTTCTAAAACAAAGACCATCAATGACAATTAGAAAATTTTAAAGCTGGAAGAATCCTTGGAAATAATCTAGCAACTGGGTTTTAGTTGAAATCTTTCACCACATTCCACAAATGAGAAAACTGAGATTTTGAATGGCCAAGAGACTCCATGTAGGTCACATAATGCCACAACCATCAGAAGGTCTAGATTCTTCCAAAATATTTCCTTAACTTATTAATCAGACAGTGATACTATCAAGGCTATTTCTAGAAATCCCTGAATATGGGTGCTACCTCACAGAGTGGTGGCAATGGACATTTTTAAAAAAGATTCAAGAAGTACTGAGGGAGAAAGAATAAAACCTCCCTGTTAAGCTGTGGCCACCACTGATGAAGGAAGAGGAGAAATAGAAAGGTGACCAGCAAGGCAACACAGATGATGTTGGTGGTTGGAAAACAGATGGGAAAATCAGGAGGAGGGTTGGGGTAGCAGGTTGCTTGGGTTGGGTTCCAGGTGCTGTTCTTTGGGGAGAAAGAAGAGGGGGTGAACAGTGTGTGGGAGGTCCAGTCAAACCCAAGTGGAAGAAAACACATTTAATTTGTTGGTTATGAATGGGGCAGCCATGGCCCTTAGAAGGAGCAGCTTCAGGAGTAAAATCCAGACAACTCAGAGATACCAAGAGCACCTGCTTTCCTGGGCCCTGGGCCCTCCGGAAGCGCCTGCTAGCTCTGACGAGATTCAGTGGAATGACAACCTGCTAGGCTGTATAATAATAATTATAATGAAGATGTTTCCCATGGGAGGAAATGATGCGAACACAAGAGAGAATTAATTTAGGGTAAGGGTACATGGAGAAAATAAAGATAAGATTAAAAGGTGCCTTGGGAATGCTGCAAACCATCTTTGCTTTTTACTATTTTTTCCCACACTCATCACTTCCTAGGGAAGGCTGCTTCTCAGAACTCCACAAGCTTCGCGGCCTGTCCTGACTTTTTCCTTGAGTCTAGGGCATCTCATCCATCACCAGTGTCCTTCTCCTTCAACACCTGTGCTCTCTGGCAGCGAGGCAACTTCTCCCTCATGGCGAATGCTCAAGTCCCACACAGGGGACTAGGGGCACACCACCCGCCGCCCCCCGAGAGTCACCCACAGCTTTATGACCCAGGCAGTCCTAAGAGATGAGGAGGGCAAACTTGCCACAGTGCCCCCCCCAACACCTTTGGTTTATAGCAAATCTGTACCCCAAGAAAGATTTTTTTGTACATTCTAACGGAATAAACAGAAAACCAAGCCATCATTTTTTGTTAACATTGAACTCCATAGCAAAACCAGCCGGTGCCCATGACTTCCCCACCTCTGCCACCCGCCACTTTGAAAAGGCAGCCAACAGTACGGTGCCACAGACTGGGTAGCAAGCTGGGGGCAAATGCATCTTAAATTGGGTTGGGATTCTGTGAAAGACAACCGCAGGACGCTAGTACTGGCAGTGACAGGAACGCTTCATGCAGCACAGCGTGCCCACACAGCCAGTCAGACACTCAGGACACGCATATCGTGTCACATACACACACACAGTTAGACAGAGTACACTCATCACACACCCAGGACCATCCGCACAGTCCACATGTATCTGGTTACACACGCATTATGGATGCACAGCCTACTTCTCTCTCTCTCTCTCATTCACACACACACACCCGTACACACACAACCTGCCATAGTCAGTGAACACACAAGCAGTTCCACGAGTACTTACGTACCCAAGCGCAGGGCACTAGCCCCAACCCTACAGTGGTCCCACGCTGGAGACGAGTCCTGGACCGGCAGCAGCCCACCTACCACCTGAGCCGCCGCCGCGCAGCCCATCCCTGCGGCAAAGCCCGGGCTCCGGAATCCAGAGCACCCGAGCCCCTCTCCGGGTCGTGCCACCCCGCCCCCACCGCGACCCCACCGACACACACGTGGACTCTCGGGCTGCAGACCCCCCGCGCACCGGCCGCACCTACCCGCTGCCTGAGGCGACGGAGCGAGGCGCCCTGGAGGACTGGAGCGGCCACCCAGAGCCACGGAGCCGAGCTTCTGCCGCCGCCGCCGCCGCTGCGCTCCCAACCGCTGCCTGCGCCCTCCCTGCCGCCCCCTCGGGTGCCGGCTCCAGCCCCCGCATAGGGAGGCCGCCGGGCTTCAGGCGCGGGCCCTGGGCCGCGGGCGGCAGGGCCCCCCGCCCCGGTTCACCTGGGTGCGCCGTGCATGGTCCTCCTTCCCGGCCCTCGGAGCCCGCCCCGCTGCTCAGCAGCCCCCCAGCCGGAGCGGTCCCGGCTGCTGCCCCCACCGGACGCGGGAGAGTGCAGGGGCCCGGCCGGGGAGGCCTGGTGCACAGGGGAAGGGGAGTGGGCACAGACGCACTGGGGGAAGGACCTCGCCCCCGGGGCTGGCCAGCCTTCTCTTTCCTGGAGCAAGCGCTGTCCTGGGCTCCCTGCCGGCTCCTGGGTGACCTTGGGCAAGTTGGTTAACCTCTCTGAGTGCCCATTTCCTCTATCTATCGTAAGATAAGTATGAGAGCGTTTGTGTTGGGGCAAACCCTTTCCCTTACTGTATAGCTTACTTCCTTATGCCTCTGGCTGCCCGGGCAGGTTCAGTTTGGGAGCAGGGTTCGGAGTGAACTCCGTTGTTCCTTAGCTACAGGCTCTCAAGTTTTCCAGAGGCAAGGTTTCATTATCCCAAAGTCTTCAGAAGTGATCCTGCCAATATTTGTCAGTTCACTCCGTGCTTCCCTGATCTGGAGGTAACGTTTCTCCCAGCTCTGTCCACTCGTGGCCTTGAGCATGTGATTAGGTCTGTAAAATGGGGACCCTAAACTGGTGGCTGTTTTGGGAGTGGCCAAAGCTCCTACCCGCGTGGCACCCTAGGCCTGTGATATCTGTGAGGAACCAAAACACTTTTTTCCTCAACACATCTGATAAAGTCCTGGAATTGCAGGAGAAGACAGGTAAAGAGTTAAAACACGTTGGAAAGGGAGGGGGAAAGTACCTTTGGTGAGACAGGTGAGGGAGCCAAAAGGCCTACTAGAGGAATATTTCACCCCCTCAAGGACCACCCAGGCTGCCAGGAAGCTTGACAGCTCAGAGAAGCCTTGACAGCAGTTAACCTTCAAAAGCAACTAAGTCTTCCAAGATGATCTTAAAAGCTGTTAATTTAAAATTGTGAGTACAATCCAAGTGAACTGGAAATTTAAATTGACCAACCTACTCACACCAGAAACTCTGAGCCTGGCCCTTTCTCAGCTTCTTTCTCTGCCAATATTCCTGCCTCTCATTTCCCACTTCTTTTTTTGGGTCTATCTTCCTCATGGGCTATATTTGTTCCCCATCTTACTCGTACCCTTTCTCTGTCTTCCCATTACAGTCTGTCCCCATCCTGTCACCTCTTCTTTATTGTCTTTGTGCTTTGTCTGTCCCAACATCATGGTGTCACTCTCACCCATTCTGATTCCTACTGTCACTTCTCTCCCTGACATGTGGATATCCTAAATCTTTATTCCTCTTTTATCCCCCATTCAAAATTTAAAAGTGGAAATATCAGGTTATTTATCAATTAAGATGCTAAGATCCAAACTTGAGTTAGTCATATGCCACTTCCCTGTATCATATACATGTGACAACATGACATCATCATCCTGACAATCACCTTGGACAGCTCTACCTCTGTTCCCCTTCTCCCCACGCTCCACTCCACTGCTCCCTGGTGCCCAGGGAATCTGTCCCAGCTTTACCGCTGGCATCTGTCCTTCCCTCCCTGTTCCCACAGAACTGAATCACATCTTTTCTGGAAGCACCAGAAAGACCTTCTAACTGTCCTCTGCCCTCTAGTGCTTCCTCTCTCCTGAGGTCAGCATGTTCAGATCCTCAGGGTGTCACACTGGCTCCAAAGCCCTAGTGCCATGAAGACAGAAAACACCTCCCCCAAAACAACTATGTCCCAAGACCAAGAACCTGGGAACATGTTCCCTCATATGGCAGAAGGGACTTGGCAACTGTGATTCAATTGAGGACCTTAAAACTGAGAGACTATACTTGATTTGACAGGTGGGCCCTGAAAAGCATCCTTTAAAGTAGGAGAGAGAAGCATCAGAGTGATTCGATATGAGATGGAATTGAGCAGTCGTTGCTCGCCTTGAACATGAAAGAAGGAGTCCTGAGCCAGCGAAGGCAGACAGCCTCCAGAAGCTGGCGAAGGCAGGGGAAGAGAAAGAAAGGCAGCCTTGCAGACACTTTGAGTGAAGTGCAGTGAGACCCATGTCAGACTTCTGATCTAGAGAGTTGTACGATGATCAGTTTGTGTTGTTTTAAGCCACTAAAGTGATTTGTTGCAGCACCAATAGCTAATACAGTGGCTTTCTTACTCATGGAGTAAGAAACAGTGGCTTTCTTACTCATGGACCTACTCATGGAGGTCCATGCAAGCGTCTTATCTGGTTATTAAGAGCAATCCAAGGTAGCCCTTGTTTTTAGCTACCTTGCTATCCCCATACCTTGCATTTTCAACAATTTGTCTTTGGCACACTCTTCTCTTGTCTCACAGTGCTCTCTCCAGAATGCCCTCCAGGTGTTGCCACTGCCTTTCCTCAGTGCTCCCAGTTTCCATGGAGTTGTCCTCCCTTCTTTGATTTCCTAGAAAAAGTATTTCTTCAAGGTGGATCCCATTTCTTTTTTAAGGTTTTATTTATTCATTTTTAGAGAGAGGAGAAAGGAGAGAGAAATAGATGGAGGGAAACATTGATGTTCGAGAGATAACTTGATTGGTTGCATCTCATACACCTCCAACTGGGGTCCTGGCCTGCAAACTAGGCATGTGCCCTGACTAGGAATTGAACCAGCAACCTTTAGGGTTACAGCCTGGCACTGAAACCACTGAGCCACACCAGCCAGGGAAGACCCCATTTCAAATGATGCCTTTTAGTGGGGAGTGGGGAACAAAGAGGAGGGAACTCCCAATGCACAGGTAGAAACTGCTCCTGGCTCTCTGCTCCCACCACACTGTACTCATCTCTGTCCTGTAGCAGTTACCACCACACTCGGTGTCTGTGGAGTTATTCACATTTCTGCATGGCCCAGGGTGGTGAGTACATCCCGGGTGGAGACCACATCTTAGCCCCCTTTCTATGTCCCAGTCCTTTTAACCATGCCAGGCACACAGTAGGGACTCAGTAACTGTTTTGTAAGTGAATAGATGAGGAGAACAAGTGTGATATCTGGTTGTGTTGGGCAGACAGGGCTATTAGTAAAATTTTCTTGCATCCTCTGTCTCTGTTTAATACAGCTGGTTAATTGAAGCACCTAAGTTAATATGATGTGGGTTTAGATGGGACTGCTTTAATGCATACCTTGAAACATAGGCTTTTCATTTTTGTTTGTTTGTTTTGGTTTTGCTTTTGCTCAAGAAGACTCCCACAATAAAAGGGCTATTCTTTTTTTACCAATTTTATTTTTAAAGGGATTTTTTAAAATAAATTATTATAGACATGCAAATTCTTTGGCCCAACAATTTTACTTCCGAAGATGTATCCTAAGGGTAATGAACCTGTGCACCCAAAGATTTACCTAAGAGAATGTTCACTGCAGAAACTTTTATAAGACTGAATAGTTGGTAATAACCCAAATGTCTAACAATAGAGTATTAACTAAACATATTACTCACACCATGAAATACCATTCAGGTATTAAACATGATTTTTGTCCATCGATATTTCTTATACAGAAAGATGTTTAGAAATATTTTAATTTTTTATGCTTATCTGTATTTTCTAACTACCATACAGTAAGCATTAGTTTAAAACTTAAGTTCAATTATTTTTTAAAGAATAGTTTTGCTTCCAAAAGGAGTGTTATAGAAAGCTTTTATGTTTTTCCAAGTTCCAAGAAAACCCACCTACAGATGAGATTTAGTTCTCTGATTATGACAAAGGAGGGAAAAGTCAGAAAAGGTTTGAAATATGACCTGAGCCTGTCTTCATTCCATTTATTTATTCATTCTAGGAATAGTTATTTTACCATCTCAATTAAAGCCTTTAATGGCAAGCAACAGAAATGGACCCTAGCTAACAAGCAAAAGAAAAATTATGGGACTTATTTAGGGGTTCACAGAATAACTTGGATTCTAAAAGCCAAGCTTGGAAAAGTCTGTGGCAGGAATCCTCCAGAGAACCAAAAAAAGTACAGCAGATAATTCACAAGAAATAGTAAGCCATCCTTCCTGACACAGTGAAGGGCCTCCATCAGCCCTCCCTCCTTGAGCCACTCACCCACATTCAAAGTCTCTGGAGAACACACCAGACTGACCAAGGTCAGCTTTTGTCTCCTCCTTCCCCCACTGTGAATCAGAGTGAGGAGGGAAAGGATCTGGTCCCTCCACCAAGACTACACACAAGAGGAGGACTTTATTTTCCCAATAAATTTGGGGTGTTGTTAGGAAATTCAGATGGAAGCTGGCAGCCTGAAAAAAGGAAGTGCCACTACGAGCCCCTGCAATGCGCTGGGCTGTTCTGGCCTCCTAGCTTGGAACAGCCTGGGGAAACTGAGTCACCAAAAAGTTGTAGCAGTGGTTACACAGTGCAGTGGTCATTAGGAGTTGCCCTTCTCTGGCCAGTCCAGGTGACAGGTGATGGAAGAGAGACTGAGGGGACCGAACACACAGGTCTGTGGGGGTCTTCCCCAGTACCTGAAGGAGGAGGAAGGTGCTCAGGGCAGAACCCTCCAGTAGCAACAGCTCACCGGCAAACTGAACCTTCAGCTTTAGTAGGCCAGAAACACCACTCAGAGGACATGAAGGAGCCTTTGATCCCATGACTTCATTTTTAAACTTGGATCGTGTTAAGGTTTTCTGTTGCTAATTTCTTCTAGACTGCAGACACAAATACTATTTTTTTCCTTCTGGTTGTTCACAACCGGCTTGACTAGTACAAATGTCCTGTTATGTGCTCACTGCCTAACAGCTGAAGCACCTTATCACACCACTCCCTGTGGTTATCTTTAAAGTCTCAGAACTTGTTTCCACAAAAGCCTCAGAAGCTTA